GAAAACAGATCAGCCAATATCATAATGCCCCTATATAAATCAATGGTGCGACCTCATTTGGAATACTGTGTGCAATTCTGGTCACCACACCTTAAAAAGGATATTATAGCTTTGGAAAAAGTGCAGAAAAGGGCAACTCGAATGATAAAAGGGTTGGAACACTTTCCCTATGAGGAAAGGTTAAGGCGCTTAGGGCTCTTCCGCTTGGAGAAATGATGACTGAGGGGTGACATGATTGAGGTTTATAAGATTATGCATGGGAAAGAGCAGGTAGAGAAAGAGGTACTTTTCTCCCTTTCTCAAAATACAAGAACTCGTGGGCACTCCATGAAATTGCTGAGCGGTTGGTTTAGAACGGATAAGAGGAAGTACTTCTTCACCCAAAGAGTGATTAACACTTGGAATTCACTGCCACATGAAGTGCTGGCGGCTACAAGCATGAACGGCTTCAAAAGGGAATTAGATAAGCATATGGAGCAGAGGTCCATCAGTGGCTATTAGCCACAAGGTATAGATAGGGACTCTGGGGCAAGTGATGCTCTGTCATCTTGGTGCTTGGGGGGGGTCAACAGTGGGAGGGCTTCTAATGTCCTGGCCCCACTGGTGGACCTCCTGATGGCACTGGTATTTCTGGCCACTGTGTGATACAGAGTGTTGGACTGGATGGGCCTTTGGCCTGATCCAACATTGGCATCTCTTATGTTCTTATGTTCTTATCCTTTTAGTCACCCTGTTTTTATCACAGTCAATGTGGTCAACCATTCCCCAACAATCCCCTACCAGAGGGGGCCGGAAGGGTGGGTCAACTCTCCTGGCCAGCAGGTCATCCCAGTTGATGTGTCGAAAGAACGGGTGCCTCTGAGAGGAGAAGATTAAAAAGTTAGTGCTACCCAGAACTTCCTGGAGTTCCTAAAATACGCGCGCACAGATCGTAACTCCACTTGCATATCTATGCTCTCTAATTCCTGCAAGACTGTGGATGTATTTTAGTCTGTGTGGGAAAATCACACTGCAGAGGATTTTTTAAAAACAGGATTACAGTAGAAACCCTTCCATGACTTCCCTTGTCCTACTGTGCTACTTGGCAAGTATGACAACAAGAAAGAAGAAAGACTGCTGTGCTAACCGATGCTACCATCATTACACTTCTAACTGGAATATCACGCAGAAAGGCTGGTTCCTCGAAATCCTCTAACCGCAGCTCTTTTACCTTGGTGACAAATTCTAGTCAAAGCAAACTCCCTTTATGTACAGAATCAGGGCCAGGCTGTATATTGTAGAAAATGCACAGGGTACAGCCCTCCATGGACGGCATGGCTTCAGGGACAGGGACTCACATGTCTGAGTTAGGGTTAGGGTCCCAGGTAAAAAACCCTCTTTTCCCATAGAAACCAAGCATGTCCTGATAGGATCCTTCTGCCTGGCAGGGATTTCTTTTCTTTTCTTTTTTTAACATGGGAAAAGAACGCACACGGCCCTCCACCGGTATCTGGAAACCTTCCGGAGGACCTCGCCAAGTGTTTCTTCTGGGTGTGCAGCTCAGCTTTCAGTGGCCTCAGACTAGATGGGAGATCCCAGCAGCAGCAGCACACCCTGTTTTGTCTAGGAATAAGCTGCTGCTTAATTCTTGTAAAGCATATCTGGAAAAGCTACACACCATAATAAAAGTCAACAGTGAATGACTTTCTTTCAGGTTTACTTCTCCCCTGAGCAGTAAAGAATGTAAACAACTTCTTCACCAAGCCTCCTGCCCTCCCAAAGCCAGGTATGACGCACCCACAAGTGAGTTACTAGGTATCAGCGATACAGTACTCTATGAACTAGGAAGAAGAGTCTTGGTGGAGGCAGACAGGATCCAGGACATTAGCTGGACATAATCTCCACATATAATTAAATATTATATGATGCAGAAGTCTAAATTGTGCAACCAAATTAAAGAATAAATGCAAATATTTATCATTTTGCATAAACCATTCTGCTTCCAAGTTACCAGGAAGCAAAGAACTTTGCAAAGCACGGAACACCCATCCATCAGAAATCCTGTTTTGAGGACAGGTCTTCTCATCCCTAATTGAGTTCCTGAGATTTCACTAGGTGTTCTCCTCACTAGAGATGTGAAGGCCTGGAAAAAAACCGGAAAAATTCGGGGGGGAAACCTTTTTCCCCGTTTTTCCCTGAAGCCTTTTTTGTTTTTTTCCGAAAAATTGAAAAAGACAAAAAATTGATTATGGATTGTTTTATTTTAACATGATGAATAAAATATTTTAAGACAAGGTGTTCAAATATTTTCCAAATCATTTTTAATATATATATGGTATCAGATTGATCTAATTTCTGTGCATTGAGGACAAGCAAGTCCTAGGTTACAACCTGAACTCTCCAATGCAAGAACAAGATGCATTTCTTCCTTTAGGAGGTGCTATTGACACAAGAAAAGAAAAAGGGTTTCAGTTTTGTTTTTGCATGTGGGTGGGTATACTGGCACTCAAACTTCACTGGGCCTCAAAGCACTGGAAGAAAATACAGAGCAACAAAAAGGACCTGAAAGTATATACTTAATTTTAAAAGGTAAGAGTTTTCATTTATCTGATTCCAGAAAACTAAATCATTTAGCTACATTAGTTTATCTTTATAACCTTTGTGTAAAAAATAATTTAATGACTACTAATCTGGTTCTTTACTTCCCTCCATCCACCTACAATAATTGTTTGGATACACTATATTTTTAATATGCTACTTGTGATAATTTCATGCCAAGTAAAATTGTCCATAGTCATATTTTATGTTCCTAAAGTAACAGAATGACTTTCAATCTGGAAAAGAAAAAAAAAGTGCTAATGTAGCTTTTTTTCCAAAAATTTCTGTTTTTTCCCAGGAAAAAACTGGGTTTTTTCCCGAGCTTCAAAATTTCCGGAAATTTTACATCTCTAGTCCTCACACAATTTAAAACTCATACTTGCAGCCACAAGGGCTAGGGCCCTCTGCCCAACGTGCCGCCCTGGACATGATACCCCTTGTGTAGCAAGATGCCTGCCCTGGAGTAAGCTGAGCCGTTGCCCCCTTCCCCCACCTTTACCTGCACATCTGCAGCATCACCAGGGCCACCCCCAATCCTCTGACTGGGATTTCTCTTGAGGAACTGGGGAGGGAAGACAACGCATGCAATAACAATCGTCTTGAGCACAGTGGGGGGGGAGGGGTCCACAGCCTTCGACCTCAGAGGTTTATGATGCCCTCCCTCCATGCACTGCTATGCATGCAGAGCTCATTGGCACCCCATGACTATAATAAACCTTTTCACTCAAAACAATGAACACAGGAACTCTAGAACAACAAAGGTTATCCAGAATGTCTATTAACAGCACTGCATCAACCAGTTAAGGGGGTCAGACTAGTCTCTGGGAGACCTGGATTCAAATCCCTGCCTGTGCCATGGAAGCTTACTGGGTGACCTTGGGCCAGTCACACTTTCTCAGCTTAACCTACCTCACAGGGTTGTGGTGAGGTTAACATGGAGGAGAGGAGAACATGGCAAGCCCCATTGGGGGGAAAGGTAGGATACAAACGGATTAAATAAAGTAGCCATCAATACTGGCTGCACACAACTTCACCGCAATGGTAAAGTCTCCGGGGGGGGGGGGGGGGGGGGGGGGGGAAAAAAAAAAC